CAGGAAGGAGAGTATGATATGCTGAAGTTTTTCTAATATTCAAAACATATTCAAAAAAATTTAATATTCAAAACAAAATGTTCAGGGAGCAGCGCGTGAAAAACTATGTGAGCACCTTTGGGCTCTATGTGCAGGGTCCTTGACCTGTATGAGTCCATTTAGCCATGAATTGCCTCTTCTGGCTGGCCTTAGTTCTCATAGGCAGAGGGTATTTGGAGCCGTGCCAGAATGCTACCTGAAAACCATTATCAGTGGAGATTTTGGAGGCTCCATAGCATCCTCAGCACTCAAAGCATGTGTTGCACAACTGAGCCACAGCCCCTCAGAGTAACCGGGAAACAAATGTATATCCTTATTGTAAAGTCAGGAATTGCAGTGCAGTGGTACATGATGATTTTTCAGGAATCATTTTCCCTCAGTATGTTCTCCTAGTAAACTCCTGCTAGTATGGCACAACCCCACCTGGGTTTGGAGGTGACATGTTAGAAAAGCCCCTAACTACATCTTCAGGACGCAAAATTTAGGGTAGTCTGATACTCCTGTCTCCAAGCTGGCTGACATGCTTGCTGCCTATTTTAAGGCAAGAAGGGATGAAAAGCACTGTATCAATTTAAATTTACAACATCTAACTAAATTAACAAGAATGCTGTACCTTTTACTATCAAAGGGAGAAGGCAGCTTCTGTTCTGTTCCAAGGTATGTTGGCTGCCACCCCCTGATCCCAAGCTTCAGGAGCTTCCCAGTTAGCACAGTAAAGCAAATTTCCCCCTAGTTCCAACATTTGCTGGTAAAAATAAACAAATACTGAGTGTGATGTGGGAATCCCAACTGGCCCTAACTTAGCAGACAAAAGGATGCTGTTTGACACAGTTATAAACATTTAATTCCTGTGGTTGCTATGAAGTGTGTGCTTAACTGTTTTTAACTTCTTAATTTTCCACTTTACTTTGGATAAACTTTCACTGATTTCACTGGAAAATATTTAAACGCATGCTTGAGTCTCTCATGGCAACTACAGGATTTTAAAGTGCTTAACACTGGCTGGATTACATCTCTAAATTATAAAATGCTGATTCTTTGAGCCTCTGATCTGAATGCAATTTATTCATCCCCTCAGATACATAAAGTGCAATTCTGTGCATATCTACTCAGCTTAAGACCATATCTACTTAAGTCCAACTAGGTCCCAAGAAACTCTGGATAGGATTGCACCCTTAAAATGCAATGGTTGCTTCTCTTTAGTATTCCATGAGTAAGTAATGCGGCAGCTTTGCTTTCACAAGGCAGCAAGTAGAATAAAACATTCACTCTTATTGTGATTTCCATTTTATATTAAATTGTACAAAAGTGCTTTAAACCATTATCACATCCATTCCCATAAAACAAGTTTGTGGTGTGTAAGACATTTCAGGGACTGCAGGTGGTGCAGTGGTTTAAACCGCTGTGCTGCTGGGCTGGTTGATCGAAAGGTCGCCGGTTTGAATCTGCACAACGGGGTGAGTTCCCATTGCTCCGTCCCAGCTCCTGCCAACCTTGCAGTTCGAAAGCATGCAAATGCAAGTAGATAAAAAGGTACCATTTTGGTGGGCAGGTAATAGCGTTCTGTGCACTTTGGTGTTTAGTCATGCTGGCCACATGACCATGGAGACTGTCTGCGGACAAATGCTGGCTCCCTTGGCTAGAAAACGGAGATGAGCACCACCCCCTAGAGTCAGGCACGACTGGACTTAATGTCAAGGGGAAACCTTTACCTTTTTAGGACATTTCAGCCTTACAAGTGGGGAATAGAGGCTCATCCCTTATCAAGACATCCATCATTCACAGCTAAGCAACAATCTGAACCTCTGGCTTTTCAATGATTTGAACCTTTCCTCTGACTTTTCAACCACTGGGAGCCAAAACAGTCCATAAATGTGAGAGCTATGTCCTTCCCCCTTCATGTTTATATTTAAATCAAGCACACAGTTCCCAGTCCAGATTGGGACCATAGGATGTTGTGGACGGGGTGCGGGGGAGGCTGTAAATGAAAAGTAGACACCGCTGCTGGTCAAATATTTAAAGTAATGTCTGTTTTGGTGCTGTATGCATACAGCTGATCTTAAGGTGTGGGCAGATTGATGTGGGTGAAGGCAATCCTTCAAGTAATTTGGTTCTAAACTCTTCCAAGTTTTTAAAATAAAATCAGCATTTTAAATTGGGCTTAATATACTGGTAGCAATGATTTTGATCTAGTAATATACTATGTTTCTTACTAGGAATTAAAGATACCCTGCTGTTAAGTTTCTACTTCTGTGAATCTAGGTGATGCTGTTGATAGACACAAAGGTATTGATTAGTTCACACCAAATAAACCACAGTGGGTTGTGAGCCATGCTTGTTTCAGAGTGGCTTATGTTGTTAGTACCTGGTCTGAGTACCTTGCTGATACGCCATGTCACTGGGTTCACCCCATGACAAATATAGTTCACAACCCCTATGCCTATTGTGCTGTGCACACCCAGTCACTGTAAACCCCTCTCCCCATTGGAATATTGGACTACCCCAGTGAATTTCCCTTTCTCGTAGTCATAATAAAACCACAAATGGTTTTCTTTTTGCTGGTACAAATCTTGACATACCTCAAGTTCTGAATGAGTTTGGCAATACTCAGACCAGGACTTCTTGCATGCTAAGCCTGTGATGATGTACAATTTCTTGCTGTAATTTGTGGTTTAAAATGTAAAGGCAACTCTTTGTTGGGACACAAGTGCACTTGTGGTTGGACTAAACTTGTACCTTTTTTTTTTTTTACCAAACTGGGGGCCAAGAATAATCAGATTGACTGGAAGTGCTCTACAAAGTACTAAAAATTAATGGAGGCTTTAGGTATATTGGAACACGATGCATTTATAAAACGCTTCTCAAATTTTGCATATATGTTTTACATAAAATGTCTATAGATTCAAGGGTTTTAACCCATTCACTACATATTATACACCAACACTTTTAATGATGTTCTTTTCCTCAGTTATAGGGAAACTTATTTGTTCTTACTCAGAAGTAAGCCTTACTGAGATAAATTGGATTTACTCCCATTTAATTATACATAGTTTTCTACCAGCTGCTATGTATCAACCAGCTTTAGTCAAAAGTGTACATGCCATTTGCTCTTATGTAAAGCAGACAAGATGCA